TACACACTCTACTTGTCACCACAGTACTCACTTCATTTGTGAGATTCTTTTTCATATCTAATAATGACAGCAGTTTTGGACAATACTTCTCAGAGTTGCACAAAAATCCAATCCTCATTTATAGTATTATTCACTTGGTCCCCCTCGCATCGAAGAAGTCCTTTCATCTTGTTATGTGTCTCAAAATTATAGCTATTTCACCTTTATTATAATCTTTTAAAATATAAAAAAATTGTTATTATTATATTTATTCCCTTTCTCCTCTCTCTTCTTTCATATCTCTATCATTCTATTTTTTCCACCTCTTACACCCCATCCTCTAACCATGACCATCTTCACCTCTTACACTCCACCCTCTAACCATGGCCTTCATCCCGTCCCTCTCAACCTTCTACCATTATCCCCACTCTACCAACCATCATATTTATAGATGTATATATCATGGTAAGGCTGTGTACTTAAACACACATGTATAAATTTAATTTCAACAAAACCAATATATTCAAGCAAATATACTCGTGAATCAAAACATATATATATAATCATACATTGTTCTTCGTTGTTAAAAATCTTTTAATTTTTTTTGAACTAGTTTTCATCACGTTTGATTTATTTTGAGGGTTGATTAATATTCTATAAACAAAACAGATTATTTAGAAGAATTGACAAATACCGCCTTAATTAGTTTTAAATGATTAATAACTATACTTTCAAACATCAACATTTTAAGACGCATAATTAGTGGGAATTTGGATTCTACTCTCACACACACCTATAGTACCTATATATATATACACACACACGTATATTTATATATATACAAAAGTCCTATAGTACCTTATATATATAAGGTACTATAGGACTTTTGTACATATATAAATATACGTGTATTAGTAATTACATGGTGTAACAATAAAAATTTGAATCTGAATTTTTAAACAACATATTGTACGTGCAAGTTATGTCTCCTATCTTTTCCGGCTACAATTGCTCTCTTTTTAAAGGGTTCTCAATAGAAGAGCATTTATCATTTTCAGATCCTGTAATTTCGAGAGCCTAGGTAGCCCTTTACATAGTGGTTTGTATATATATATATATATATTGACTTCTACTAATTAAGTTTATTATTTTAATGCAGTGAGCTTTCCTTGGAGTACTCTAAGAGAACCCGAAAAGTGGCAGTTGAATTAGTTAAAGGGATATCAGAGAGCTTAGGTCTAGAAGAAAGCTACATACACAAAGCTTTGGATATGGACTCAGGCTTACAGATTTTCGTGGCAAATCTGTACCCGCCTTGTCCATAGCCTGAACATGCCATGGGCATCCCTCCTCACTCCGATCATGGTGTCTTAACCCTCCTCATACAGAACGAAATTGGAGGCCTACAAGTCCAGCATAATGGCAAATGGGTCAATGTCAATCCCTTTCCCAACTCCTTTCTCGTTAACACCGCCCATCACCTTGAGGTGCAACATTGTTTATTTTTACAAATGTTAGTATTAAGATTACATCCTCTCTAATAGCTTAAATGTTTTCGATACAGATATTGAGCAATGGTAAGTATAAGAGTGTTCTGCACAGAGCAGTTGTGAACAACAAAGCTACTCGACTCTCTCTCGCCATGGGCCATGGACCGTCGCTCGATGCAGTTGTGGGTCCGGCAATGGAATTAGTGAACAGTAAAACTCATCCAGCTGCATGTATTCCGATGAAGTATAAAGACTATCTAGAGATGAAGCAAAAGAACCAGCTTGATGCCAAGTACGGCTTGGAAAGTGTTTAAATTGTGTAATTAAGCAATTAAACCACTTGCATTGCATGCATATCTGTGTACACATATTTTCAATAAAGTTGCATGTACTCTCATAAAAAGAAAAATGTCGAAGTAATAAATGTAATTTTCCATTTTCATGACCTTCATTATGCGAGCTGGTTATTTATTTATTTATTTATTTGTTTAACTTAATTTTCATTTTCATGACCTTCACTATGATGGATGATCCATCATGCTCTGTTATCCGAGCTGGGTCATCTCCAACGGCCACTTGGTTTGAAAGGTTGGCCCCTGGATTGTCTTTTCTTCGAACTTAGGCTCTTCTTCTGTAAAGCTTTATTTGGGCCTAGGCCCGTGTTTTAGTTAATATTTTCTCATGGGCTTCACTCACTGCTGTTAGTGATTAGCCCATTTTCTTCTGGCCTGATTGCCTGACCTTTAAAAAAAAAACGCAAAACTCGGCTTAGATGGTTGTAGCAATGTATCCTCCAACGGTCTATTTGTTATTCTTGGGTGGGCATGTTGTAGATTGGGCTTCTGGGTCAAGCTAATCCTTGGGCTTGTATGTATTTGGTTAGCATTGGGCTAACTCTTCTCTTGTATATTGTTGGTTCATATATATATATATAACTTGAAATTTACCTTTCAAAACTCAATTACCATTAGTTTTTACAATTTGAATCCCGCACACACTACTTGTAATATATTTTTTATGTTGCATCTAGAGCATTCAATCAGTGCTTTGAATTTGGAATTGGGGAAATTTTAATTCTATTCAAAATTTTAACTAAATTTTTTTCAGTTCCAAATTCACATCATTAATTCGGTGCTCACAAACATAAGCTTATCAATTTTCAAGGGCAGGTTATTGGGTTTCATTGTATCAAGCCAAGATTGTTAATTCTCAAGGCTAATGCTTAAAGACGACATCATCTAAAAACTCAATTGATTTTGAAAAACTAAAACTATCTCAAGACACTCAAATCACAATACTTGTGTAAGTATGCTAACTAAACATGTTTTTAATTGATGTGATTTTTAGTCCCACCTCAATTTGCTTAAATATGTTAAACGATGTTTTTTGTCTCACATCAGTTTTGAGTTAAAAAGGATCATGTATATACCAACTCCCTTTAAAAATAAAGGCCTAACAAATTAATAATTATACCTTTTTGACTAGCTAGTTACATTTGGGATGAGATTGTATGTGGTTCAAAAAGCATTAGTCTAGTCACATCAATTTGTTGCCATCCCTGACTATGTAACATTTTGTATCGCAAAAATGTCACTGATTTGGCTCCAAGGGATGGACCAGGGATGACAATAGGGCTGGGCGGATATTTCATTCCCCATCCCTAGTCAAGTTTTTTTACCTCCATCCCCGCCCTCATACCAATTTAATTTTCAATCCCCTTCCCCGTCACCACCTTCAGCATATCTAAAATGAAGTCAAATTGATTAAATTAAAAACAAGCTTAAGACTGCACAGAGCCACAGATTAATCTCATTTTATTTCAATAAATTGGTTGTCAGCCAAACAAACCCTATGTTGCATGCACACAAGGTATAAAACACTTGAGACTGCACGGCTTAATTATTTCATAAAGCAATTAAAAACAAATTGAGATTATTTCTTTTTTCAATACCAACCCTGTTATGGGGAAGTGGGGTACATGTATTGCATGTATTTAAAACATGTCAACAAATTTTTCCTTGTATGCTACTTTTCTTCACCTTCCTTTTCCTTGAGCTTATCAATAACTGGCTCAACAAATGTCTCCAAGTCTTTCAAGTCCTGCTTCAATTCATCAACCTGTGAATTCAGGTAATAAAAACTAGAAGTCAAAAAAAAAAAAAAAAACACACACACACACACAAACACTAACCCCGTTTGTTTCGACGTAAAATATTTTTTTAAAAAAAAATATATTTTTTCAGTTAAAATATTCTTTTATTTTTACTTTGTCAATGTTTGGCAAAGGTTTACATCGAGATTGCGGTCGAGTTTATCGGACGGGGCATGTAAAATAACTTGTCGAAAATTGATCAATAAGTTATTTTTGTTAAATTTTAATTATTTTTTTTTCATAAATATTTTAGGATAACCAAACACCAGAAAATAAAAAATAATATATTTTTAAAAAATATTTTACGTCAAAAACAAACGGAACTTAAAAGTGTTTAAAATTAAGCAATTGGTTCTTGCTGCACAATATTCTCAAATAAACATTGATGATCATGATAATATGATATGCCCTCTTGAAATTACTTAGTTCTCTTCCAATTCTATTCCCAAAAAGTTACTCCAAGAGTGTTTTTAAAAGAAAAAACAATTTAATGTGTGTGAAAACTGAAAACACGGTACCTTGTGAATAAGATCTAGTACTTGTTGAGCATCCTTTGCTGTGACACTAGATACATGTTCTATGCACAATGCTGCATCCTTGAGTTTGCCATTGAACGGAATCTTATCAGCCACCTCTGCTGATATCTTCTCAGTTGTAGTCGCCACCTTTTCGATCTCCTCTGCCACATTTTCCACCTCTTCCACAACTTCCTCTGCCTTCCCTAAATTGTATAAATTAACGAGTTTCAGTCCAATTCCATTAGAAATCAACAAAGAAATTTCCTTTACTTTTAGATTGTGAGTGTAAGGACTGATTTTTATTTTTATTTTTCATTTGCTGAATAATAATAATAATAATAATAACACTAATTCTCAGCTTGTTTCAGGCAACAGAAGCAGACCATGGATTATGTGGTTATAAATATATATACCTTCCAACCTTAGCAGAGTTTTCAGTTTTTGCTGCCAAAAAGGTAGTAGAAAAGTCAATACAGAGGCAAAAATCCATTTTGCCCTGCGAAACACAGTTCCTCTCAGCTCTTTCTCCCAAATATGTATATATTAAAAATACAATCTTTTAATGAATGAACAAACATGAAAATGTCTCAATAAACATCAAAGAGTGCGTTCGGAATAGCTACATATCCTAAACGCTTTCTTGCCAAGTTTTATTACAACATAAACACATTCTTCATTTTCAATTTCAAGGGATAGTCATTGTCAATATTGACTCTTCAATAATTATTACTCTGTCATGCATGTTTCTTTTAATTTAAATAATAATTAACAATAACAAGCTTAACTCTCTTTTCTATTTCATGTAGAGACAGAACAAGAAATCAATTTGAATCTTGTTAGTTAAACCAAATGGTATATTTGATCTCTCATTCTCAAAGGAGAGGTTGAGAGTTCGAGTTTCGTTAAAAACAATATTGTAAATCTATGTGTATTTGTTTGAACTTTCGGAGAAAAAAATATATATATATTCATGTCAAAATTCATTTATAAACAATTTTTTTAAGTACCACATATAAAATCTGGGCATAGAAGAAGGTGGCACTGGTACTGGTTGAACCTTGTCCACTTTATCCTTCACCCTACATTAAGGAACAATAATAAATCTTATATATTCAAAACTTCACAGCAGAAAATTCATAAAAATAAGGCATGAACATAAAAAGTCTTGAAGAAGATGGTTCACATATGGTCAGGCTTGTGCTTTAGATGTGCTCCACTAGAACTGCCAGCACTGGTGCAAATCAATCTCAACCCTTGATGTGTAGAACAACTATATCCAACGTTAGAGAAACGCACATCACGGTGCTGTGACTGAGATGGATTGCCAGCGAAAAGCCAATAACGATGAACTGATGTAATCAGATTTGAAATTTTATAAGAAGCCCAAAAATTTCTCACCGCCATTGTAAATTTCTAGTACTTAATGGATTCAAGAGCTAGCTTCAAGACTCAAGCTTAATGCCTGTATGAATATATGTATGTGCATATATATATATATATATATATATATATATATACATATCATGCATGAATCAAAGACCAAGTATTCAAATTGATATTGAAGCTGGCCTTAGCTTTCTATCTGTACTTTTAATGGCATTTTACGTGTTGGGAATGTTTGGGAAATGCTGAAAATGTAAAAGAAGATCCGAACACGCCAAGGGATATATGATGTAAAACGTTTTTGATGAAGGGTAGGATTTAATAGTTCACTTTAAGCTACAGATTTCCTTCCACCTAACAAAAAGCTAAACAAGTCACATTTTTCTTGCTAGTTAATGGTACTTCAAATCTGTTCCAAAGCCTTAACTACATGTGTGTACCTATATATTATCTATATCGATCTATTTATGTTTGAAACTCAATGTCCAATCCTGCGTGTAATATTATCCACAAGCTCTCTGCAATCCGAAGCCTTAAGCACCGTAGAAATAAGGGGAACTCCCAAGTATTTATATAAAAGTGCAATGTATGAACTGTTAATCTCCTTGAGCATCTCGCCATTTGTGAAGAAAGCCTTTATGGCCTCAGTGACTTCACAACCCACACAGTTTGCGGCCTTGTAATAAAAATGGGCATTAAAACCATCGGGTCAGGTGATTTCTCTTTATTAATTCGGAGACAGGAAACATGTTTGGATCTCAAGATAAGCTGAGAGATGAAATCAAGTGACTGGGAAGGACCTTATCAACGAAGGGCGGAATGGATGATTTTCTTGGGTAAGGTTGGGTGAGCTACCCAATAGGATATGAAATCTCAGCATCAATCAGGTTCTCACTCACTACAGGATCCCTTAATAGTACTTCAAAACTGTTCCAAAGGCTTCCAAAAAAAGCTGGCTAGTTTATTAATTAATATTCCTTCTAAAATTGATTAAAATTTTACATGCAATTTTTTTTTTTGAGCCACCCCAAGCTACAAACCGATAATGTTGCAATCTATCCCACAACAACGACACCAATTAAATCAGGGTTATAATAGGGGTGTTGGAATTCGAAACCGGAACATATTAGAACCAAGCCTCTTACTTACCACCATCACCAAGCCCCTTGGTACATGCTAAAAAAAAATACTCCTTATTAATATTGACTAAATATATTGTTGAGAGAGGGGTACACTTTTTTTTTGTAGTGAATATTATCATAATTATTCAGTGAAAAATTTATATCTTAATTAAAATTTGGGTTATTTTAGTAATTAGTCAGTTATAAAAAAGGGGCATTTAGCTAAATGAATACGAAAAAAAATTAATATGGATTTAAAGAAGGGCAAAGTAATTTACTCGATATGGAACACAAAAGAAAAAAAGAAAAAGAAAAATCCGTGTCATTTTAACATTGGAAACATAGGCGGAGCTTTTAATGGGTTATAGCCCCAGGTCCAATTTTTTTATTAAAATTAGTACTACTATTCTTATCAGCCCAGTCCATATGTAATCAATTTTTAGTATTACTCTTTCTCTTCTTATCATCCCAATCTAGCCCAATCTATAGTATTACTCTACGTCTTCTGATCAGTCCAATCCATATGTGTTATGTAATTAATTTTTACTACTCTTCAGCCACTTCCTCTCAACACGCGATGGTATTTTCACTCATAGAGTTTGGCCAGCCTGTTTGGGGTCTAATAAGAAAATTGCAGAAACTTGACATGGGGTCCAATTTATCATCTTTTTTAACAAATATATTTGATTTGATATACGAGAATATCATCATTTTTTGGTTAATTTTTTAATAGACATAATATATGTTTATGATAAGAATTATTGTGTTCATCTTCAAAAAAAATTTATTATCTTTAGCCCCTACTTTGCAATCCTGACTACACCCTGATTGGAAAATCATTTGTCCGTGGGGATTTATTGTGCAGTGGTGTGGCTAGATTCATTCAATACTGTTGGAGATTTGACGTACTTATGTGTTGTTTACTATTATGTCACATCAATGGTTTGTACTGTCCCTGCTTCAATTAATAAAACTATTGGCGTGATGTGGTGGCTGCCTCTCTTTATATAGCCAGGTTTCATCCAACAATGCCATGGATGAGGAAACTCTATTTGCAGGTGATTTTTAATTTTTATCTCCTGAAAATTTTGATTTGATATACGAGAACATCATCGTTTTTTGGTCCCCAAATTGAAAAATCATTTGTTCATGGGGATTTATTGTGCAGTAGTGTGGCTAAATTCGTTCAATACTCTCCGAGATTTAACGTACTTATATGTTGTTTACTATTATGTCACATCAGTGGCTTGTATTGTCCATTCAATTAATAAAACTATTGTTCTTATTTGCAAAGACGTTTTCGATGGTGTGGGCGTGATGTGGTCGCTACCTCTCTTTATATAGCCAGGTTCATCCAACAATGCCATGAATCAGGAAACTCTATTTAATTTTGATTTGATACACGAGAACATCATCATTTTTTGATCTATTTTTTAATATACATAATATATGTTTATGATAAGAATTATTGTGTTCATCTTCAAAAAAAATTTATTATCTTTAGCTCCTACTTTGCAATCCTCCTGATTAGAAAATCATTTGTCCGTCGGGATTTATTCTGCAGTGGTGTGGTTAAATTCATTCAATACTCTTAGAGATTTGACCTACTTATGTGTTGTTTACTATTATGTCACATCAGTGGTTTGTAACCCTTCAATTAATAGAACTATTGTTCTTATTTGCAAAGATGCTTTCGATGGTGGGCGTGATGTGGTCGTTACCACTCTTTATATAGCTAGGTTCATCCAACAATGCCATGAATTAGGAAACTCTATTTATAGGTGATTTTTAATTTTTATCTCCTGAAAAATTTGATTTGATATAGAGAACTTCATCATTTTTTGGTTTATTTTTTAATATACATAACATATGTTTATGATAAGAATTATTGTGTTCACCTTCAAATTTTCTTATTCTTTTTAGCCCATACTTTGCAATCCTAAGTGCGTCCTGATTGGAAAATCATTTGTCCGTGGGGATTTATTGCGCAGTGGTGTGGCTAAATTCATTCAATACTCTTGGAGATTTGACGTACTTATGTGTTGTTTACTATTATGTCACATCACTGGTTTGTATTGTTCATTCAATTAATAGAACTATTGTTCTTGTTTGCAAAGACGCTTTTGATGGTGGACGTGATGTCGTCGCTACCTATCTTTATATAGCCATGTTCATCCAACAATGTCATGGATAAGGAAATTCTATTTATAGGTTATTTTTAATTTTTAGCTCCTAAAAAAATTGATTTGATATACGAGAACATCATCGTTTGTTGGTCTATTTTTTAATATACATAATATATGTTTATGATAAGAATTATTGTGTTCATCTTCAAGTTTTCTTATTATCTTTAGCCCCTACTTTGCAATCTTAACTGCGCCTTGATTGAAAAATTATTTGTCCGTGGGGATTTATTGTGCAGTGGTGCGGCTAAATTCATGCAATATTCTAGGAGATTTGACGTACTTATGTGTTGTTTACTATTATGTCACATCACTGGTTTGTATATATTGTCCATTCAATTAACAGAATTATTGTTCTTTTTGAAAGGACGCTTTCAATGGTGGACATGATGTGGTCGCTACCTCTCTTTATACAGCTAGATTCAACCAACAATACCATGGATTAGGAAACACTATTTACAGGTGTTTTTTAATTTTTATCTCCTGAAAATTTTGATTTGATATACAAGAACATAATAGTTTTTTGGTCTATTTTTTAATATACATAATATGTGTTTATGATAAGAATTATTGTGTTCATCTTCAAATTTTCTTATTATCTTTAGCCCCTACTTTGCAATCCTAACTGCGCCCTTCTTATTATCTTTAGCCCCTACTTTGCAATCCTGACTGCGTCCTGATTGGAAAATCATTTGTCCGTGGGGATTTATTGTGCAGTGGTGTGGCTAAATTCATTCAATACTCTTGGAGATTTGATGTACTTATGTGTTGTTTACTATTTTGTCACATCACTGGTTTGTCTTGTCCATTCAATTAATAGAACTATTGTTCTTATTTGCAAAGACACTTTCGATGGTGGACGTGATGTGGTCGCTACCTCTCTTTATATAGCCAGGTTCATCCAAAAATGTCATGGATCGGAAAACTCTATTTATAAGTGATTTTTATTAAGATGTGGTGTGGCTAAATTCAATCAATATTCTCGAAGATTTGATGTACTTATGTGTTGTTTACTATTATGTCACATCAGTGATTTGTATTGTCCATTCAATTAATAAAACTATTGTTCTTATTTGAAAAGACGCTTTCAATGGTGGACGTGATGTGGTCGCTACTTCTCTTTATACAGCCAGGTTCATTCAACAATACCATGGATTAGGAAACTCTATTTACAGGTGATTTTTAATTCTTATCTCCTAAAAATTTTGATTTGATATACGATAACATCATCGTTTTTTGGTCTATTTTTTAATATGCATAATATATTTAGCTTTATGATAAGAATTATTGTGCTCATTTTCAAAAAAAATTATATTATTTTTAGCCCTTACTTTATAATCCTGACTGGCACTGATTAAAAAATCATTGGTTTGTGGGAATTTATTGTGATGTAGTGTGGCTAAATTCATTAATTCAATATTCTCAGTGATTTGACATACTTATGTGTTGTTTACTATTATGTCACATCACTGGTTTGTATTGTCCATTCAATTAATAAAACTATTGTTCTTATTTGAAAAGACGCTTTCAATGATGGACGTGATGTGGTCGCTAGCTCTCTGTACACAGCCAGGTTCATCCAACAATTCCATGGATCAGGAAACTTTATTTACAGGTGATTTTTAATTTTTATCTCCTGAAAATTTTGATTTGATATACGAGAAAATCATCGTTTTTTGGTCTATTTTTTAATATATGTAATATATGTTTATGATAAGAATTATTGTGTTCAACTTCAAATTTTCTTATTATCTTTAGCCTCTACTTTGCAATCCTGACTACGCCATGATTGGAAAATCATTTGTCCGTGGGGATTTATTGTGCATTGGTGTGGCTAAATTTGATCATTCAATACTCTTGGAAATTTGACTTACTTATGTGTTGTTTATTATTATGTCATATCAATGGTTTGTACTGTCCATTCAATTAATAGAAATATTGTTCTTATTTGTTAAGACGCTTTTTCACGGTGGATGTGATGTGGTCGTTACCTCTCTTTATATAGTCAAGTTAATCCAATAATGTCATGGATCGAAAAACTCTATTTACAAGTGATTTTTAATTTTTATCTGTTAAAAAATTTGATTTTATATACGTAATATATCTAATTTTATGATAAGAATTATTATGTTCTTCTTTAAATTTTTTATTTTTAACCCTTACTTTACAATTTTGACTGCACCCTGAATGAAAATTCATGAATAAAAAATTTTTTGTTGGTGCGAATTTATTGTGATGTGGTGTGGCTAAATTCATTCAATACTATCGAAAATTTCAGCCACTTACTTCTTGTTTACTGTTATGTCACATCAGTTGTTTGTATTGTCCATGCAATGATGTGTGACTACCTCTCTGTATATAGGTTCATCCAACAATGCCATGAATCATAACCCTCTCTCTCTCTCACACACACACACACGCACGCACGCAGTACGTCTCTCTCTCTCTCTCTAAAATGGCCTGTACAGCTTCACTGGTTCCCCAACGTTGTCCCAACATTCCTCTCCATGCATCCAAGATACCAGAATCAAGTATGTCCATTCCAGCAAATTACGCCTACAGGCCCACTCCCGCTTCTCCTCCTCCGTTAGATTGAAGAACTCGCTACACGCGTCCATCATCCCTTTCATCAGCCTCTCCCCCACACCATGATTGATCACCTGACAACCCATCAGATCAATCTTACTCAATTCACAACCACATAATATAACAAAAAATTTTGAAATTGTGTGATTGGATTGTTCGTGAAAATATATATATATATATAGTACCATGTAGAAGCCCCACTCACAGGCTTTGCCCAAGTCTTGGACTATTTTGGATCGTTGATCAGGATCACTAGAGGTGAGTAAGGAAAAATCAATGATGGGGATTGAATCTCCAGGCTCTGAACCAACAGGTTCATTGGGATCTGTGGTGTACCTCAAGCTTTTTGTGCATCCACATTTTCACTCTGTCAACAAACCCATGGGTTTCGGTACAAAACCTGATGGAATATTGATACTTGAACACATACATAATAAATTATCTAATTAATTATTTTTTAATTAATTATTTATATTAATTAAAAATAAGTAAATTTGGCCTATAAGAGGCATTCACATATCATTAAAAAAACAAAAGAGGCTAAATTCATTCTTGTTACCAAATTATTTGACCTACAAAATTCAATATTCAAATTATAAAATTTTTTGATGATGGCATCACTGCTCACATTTAATCAGCCTATCAATTTAAATTTTCATGATAACTAGGAATAATACAATTAAGTCAAATCAAAAATTTATTTGTCGTTGTCGGTGTCTGTGTACCTTATCAATTTATATTAATTCCATCCACAATTTTTTCTCTTCATGTGGTTGAGTTATTTCTTTTCATCTTTTCCGGTACCGAATGTTATTCTCCTAGTAAAAAATTACAAAAAGACGACAAAGTAAGGTGGTAGGTGGTGACAAATTGTTACATAATTTTGGACCACTTAATTTAATCTAGATGTTTGAATTTTAATTTTGATTAGACTTAATCATCATCTGATTTGATCAGGTTTGAGAAAGTCAAACAATATCCCAGATTTACTCTTTTCTTGTTTTCATATACGAAAATTGAATTATTATTATTATTGAAAAAAAGAAGAAGCATAATTGGCCATTGTGGGGATACGCATAGTCACATAGTAAATATCCGAGTATTATAAACTGAGATATAGAACTGATACATATATATTAAATTATAGGCTTGACTACAGCAGCTATAATTAAGGTGCAATATAGTATATCATTATTACATTAACATAAACTTTCTTCATTTATTGGTTAAGAGAAAATTAAATAAGGTCTCAAAACAAATCAAAGTTGACTTTTAAACTCCTTGGTGCTTTCATGGTGTTGTCTTCCCAAATCATCTTGCTGAATGAATAACGATCACTCGGACTCGGACTCGGACTCCTCCGTTTGTTTCTCCTTAAAATATTTTTTTAGGGTAATTTTTTTTTTTTTTCCTAGATAAAATACTTTTTTATTTTTATTTTTTCGGTACTTGACAAAGATCTACTATTGAGATTGAGTCAAACGGGCAAAACATGTAAAATAATTTGTCAAAAATTGATGAATAAACTATTTTTACTAAATTTTAATATTTTTTTCTTCATAAATATTTTACGGCAATCAAAGATCAAAAAATAAAAAAATAATTTTCAAAAAATATCTTACATCCCAACAAACAGAGCCTCAATGCATCCAACTTTTCAAATACTACACTTTCACTTGTCACCACATTACTCACTCCACTTGTGAGATTCTTTTCATATCTAATAATGACGGTAGTTTTGGACAATACTTATTGGAGTAGCACAAAAATCCAATCCTCATTTATAGTGTTAGTCACTTGGGTCCCCCTCTATCGAAGAAGTCATTTCATCTTGTTATGTGTCTCAAAATTATAGTTGTTTCACGTTTATTATAATCTTTTAAAAAATTAAAAAATTATTATTATTATATTTATTCTCTTTCTCCTCCCTCTTCTTTCATATCTTTATCATTCTATCCCCATTCTCTAACCATGACCATCTTCACTTCCTACACTCCACCCTCTAACCATGGCCTTCACCCCTCCCCTCTCAACCTTCTACCACTATCCCCTCTCTACCAACCACCATATTTATAGATGTATATATCTTGGTAAGGTTGTGTACTGAAACACATGTATAAATTAATCTAATTTGAATAAAACCAATATATTCAAGCAAATATATTCGTGAATCAAAACATATATATAAAATCATACATTGTTCTTCTCTATTAAAAATTTTTTAATTTTTTTTTTCAATTAGTTTTCATCACGTTTGATTTATTTTGAGGGCTGATTAATATTCAATAAACGAAACAGACTATTTAAAAGAATTGACAAATACCGCCTTAATTAATTTTTAATGATTGTCAACTATACCTTCAAACATCGACGTTTTAAGACTCATGATAACTGGGAATCTGGATTCTACTCTTACACACACCAATAGTACATATATATATATATAAGGTACTTTGGGACTTTTGTATATATATAAATATACGTGTATTAATAATTACATGGTGTAACAATAAAAATTTGAATCTGAATTTTTAAACAACATATTGTACGTGCAAATTATGTCTCCTATCTTTTCCGGCTAAAGCTACTCTCTTTTGAAAGGGTTATCAATAGAAGAGTATTTATCATTTTCAGATCCTCCTATAATTTCGAGAGCCTAGGTAGCCTTTTACATAGAGGTATATTGACTACTACTAATTAAGTTTATTATTTTAATGCAGTGAGCTTTCCTTGGAGTACTCTAAGAGAACCCGAAAAGTGGCGGTTGAATTAGTTATAGGGATATCGGAGAGCTTAGGTCTAGAAGAAAGCTACATACACAAAGCCTTAGATATGGACTCAGGCTTACAGATTTTTGTGGCGAATCTGTACCCGCCTTGTCCACAGCCTAAACATGCCATGGGCATCCCTCCTTACTCCGATCATGGCGTCTTAACCCTCCTCATACAGAACGAAATCGAAGGCCTACAAGTCCAGCATAATGGCAAGTGGGTCAATGTCAATCCCCTTCCCAACTCCTTTCTCGTTAACACTGCGCATCACCTTGAGGTGCAACATTGTTTATTTTTTAAAATGTTAGTATTAAAATTACATCTTCTCTAATAGTTTAAATGTTTTCGATACAGATATTGAGCAATGGTAAGTACAAGAGTGTTCTGCATAGAGCAGTTGTAAACAACAAAGCTACCCGAATCTCCCTCGCCATGGGCCATGGACCGTCGCTCGATACAGTTGTGGGTCCAACAATGGAATTAGTGAACAGTGAAACTCATCCAGCTGCATGTATTCCGATGAAGTATAAAGACTATTTAGAGATGGAGCAGGTGGGTCCGGCAATGGAAATAATGGACAGTGAAAATCGTCTAGATGCATGCATTCCGATAAAGTATAAAGACTATCTAGAGATGAAGCAAAACAACCAGCTTGATGCCAAGTACGGCTTGGAAAGTGTTTAAATTGTGTAATTAAGCAATTAAACCACTTGCATTGCATGCATATCTGTGTACACATATTTTCAATAAAGCTGCATGTACTCTCATAAAAAAAAAATGTAGAAGGAATAAATGTAATTTTCCATTTTCATGAGCTTCATTATGCGAGCTGGTTTTTTATTTATTTATTTATTTGTTTAACTTAATTTTCATTTTCATGACCTTCACTATGATGGATGATCCATGCTCTGTTATCCGAGCTGGGTCATCTCCAACGGCCACTTGGTTTGAAAGGCTGGGCCCTGGATAGTCTTTTCTTCGAGCTTAGGCTCTTCTTCTGTAAAATATTTTCTCATGGGCTTCACTCAACTGCTTTTAGTGATTAGCCCATTTTCTTCTAGCCTGATTGCCTTACCTTTAAAAAAAAAAAACACAAAACTTGGCTTAGATGGTTGTAGCAATGTAGCCTCCAACGGTCTATTTTTTATTCTTGGGTGGGCATGTTGTAGATTGGGCTTCTGGGTCAAGCTAATCCTTGGGCTTGTAATGTATTTGGTTAGCATTGGGGTAACTCTTCTCTTGTATATTGTTGGTTCATATATATATATATATATATGAACCAATTTACCTTTCAAAACTCAATCAACATTAGTTTTTACAATTTGAATCCCGCACACACTACTTGTAATATATTTTTTATGTTGCATTTAGAGCATCCAATCAGTGCTTTGAATTTGGAATTGGAGAAATTTTAATTATATTCAAAGTTTTAATTAAATTTTTTTCAATTCCAAATTCACATCATTAATTCGGTGCTCGCAAACATAAGCTTATCAATTTTCAGGGGCGGGTTACTGGGTTTCACTGTATCAATCCAAGATTGTTAATTCTCAAGGCTAATGCTTAAAGACATCATCTAAAAACTCAATTGATTTTGAAAAACTAAAACCATCTCAAGACACAAATCACAATACTTGTGCAAGTATGCTAACTAAACATGTTTTTAATTGATGTGATTTCTAGTCCCACCTCAATTTTGCTTAAATATGTTAAGCGATGTTTTTAATCCCATATCGGTTTTGAGTTAAAAAGAATTATGTGTATACTAACTCCACGTAAAAATAGAGGCCTAACAAATTAATAATTATACCTTTTTCGACCTTTTTAACTAGCTAGTTTCATTTGGGATGAGATTATATGTGGTTCAAAAATTTGGGATGAGATTATATGTGGTTCAAAAAGCATTAGTCTAGTCACGTCAATTTGTTGACGTCCCTAATTATGTAACATTTTGTATCACAAAAATATTATTCTTGTTACCAAATAATTTGACCTACAAAATTCAATATTCAAATTATAAAATTTATTGATGATGCGTATCACCGCTCACATTTTATCGGCCTATCAATTTAAATTTTCATGATAATTAGGAGCAATACAATTAAGTCAAATCAAAAATTAATTTGTCCTTGTCGGTGTCCGTACATTAATTCCATCCACAATCTTTTCTCTTCATATGGTTGAGCTATTTCTTTCCATCTTTCATCGTACCGAATGTCATTCTCCTAGCACAAAATTACAAAAAGATGAGAAAGTGAAGTGGTAGGTGGTGACAAATTGTTAGATAATTTTGGGCCACTTCATTTAATTTAAATGTTTTAATTTTAATTTATTATAAAATATTTTACATTCAAACAATCGAGTGCCAATGGCTCCAACTTTCCAAATACTACACACTCCACTTGTCACCACAGTACTCACTCCATTTGTGAGATTCTTTTTCATATCTAATAATGACAGTAGTTTTGGACAATACTTCTCAGAGTTGCACAAAAATCCAATCCTCATTTATAGTATTATTCACTTGGTCCCCCTTGCATCGAAGAAATCATTTCATCTTGTTATGTGTCTCAAAATTATAGCTGTTTCACCTTTATTATAACCTTTTAAAAAATAAATAAAAAAAAATTATTATTATTATATTTATTCTCTTTCTCCTCTCTCTTCTTTCATATCTCTATCATTCTATTTTTTTCACCTTTTACATCCCATCCTCTAACCATAACCATCTTCACCTCTTACACTCCACCCTCTAACCATGGCCTTCACCCCGCCCCTTTCAACCTTCTACCACTATTCCCTTTCTACCAACCATCATATTTATAACCGTATATATCATGGTAAGGCTGTGTACTTAAACACATATGTATAAATCTAATTTAAACAAAATCAATATAGTCAAGTAAATATACTCATGAATCACAACATATATATAAAATCATATATTGTTTTTCTTTGTTAAAAATCTTTTAATTTTTTTTCAATTAGGTTTCATCACGTTTGATTTATTTTGAGGGCTGATTAATATTCTATATATATATATAGGTACTATAGGCACTTTTGTATATATATAAATATACGTGTATTAATAATTACATGGTGTAACAATAAAAATTTGAATCTGAATTTTTAAACAACATAAGAGTACACGGTTTGAAGAATATTTATCGAACACATGAACAATGAATTGTCTAAATAAATAATTTTTAATTATTTATTTATATTAATTAAAAATAAATAAAAATTTTATTTCTTTATTTATTATATAATTGGTCAATTAAAAAAGTAAGTTTAACAATTCACTGTAAATATTCGGTACAAGAATCATTTTTCTTCCTAATTATTTATATATATGGATGATTATATTCTAACCCATTTATTAACCTGATACTCCATATTAGAGTACACGGTTTGAAGAATAAGTAAAGATTTTATTTTATTTTTTTTAAGGCAAGATGTATTAGAAGTTAAAATAGTAGATGTATAGAGTCGAAACCTAATACTCCAAGAATTATGTGAGACATTAATTCACTTGATAATCGAGACATCTAAATGAGTGAAGATGAAATATTACTACCTTATTGTTTTTGTGAATAAGTTGGAAATTTAAATACACATAAGAGTATACTTCAAGATTCATTTAAGACATTAACTCAGAATTATTGAGATATATGCAATGAGTAAAGATGAAATATACCATCTTAATAAGTATTATTAAGATGAAATATACCATCTTAATGAGTATTATTAAAATAGTATATGTATAGAGTCAAAACCTGATACTCCAAGAATTACGTGAGACACTAATTTACTGGATAATCGAAACATCTAAATGAGTGAAGATGAAATATTACTACCTTATTATTTTTGTGAATAAGTTGGAAATTTAAATACACATAAGAGTATACTTCAAGATTCATCTGAGACACTAACTCAGAATTATTGAGATATATGCAATGAGTAAAGATGAAATATACCATCTTAATGACTATTATTTTTGTAAATAAGTTGCAAATTTAAATACACTGCCATACGACACATTGAAGGAAAATGATAAACATCATCAAAGAACTTTCATAATGTTTATCACCAAAAACGTGGCACCATCTCTGTTTGCCACTTCTTCTTTTTTATTTATTTCCTTCTTTTTATTTAGGCTAATTGTTTTTCTGATATTAATGAAAAAAAAAACTAGTTTCATTCCCTATGCTTCAAATTTGATTAAAAAAAAATCACTAAATTAAACAGTGTTATGAAAAAAATAATACTGATAATATTATGATGAAAAAAAAAAAAATGTATTGAATCATTCTTTGTCCATTTTTTTAATCAGTTTTAAAATTTTACTTTTTAGAATACATTCGATTTTGGACTATGAAAAAAGATGAGAATTTGGCCCATAAGAGGCATTCACATATCATTAAAAAAAATAAATAAATAAATAAAAAGGGGCTAAAATCATTCTTGTTACCAAATAATTTGACCTACAAAATTCAATATTCAAATTATAAAATTTATTGATGATGCGTATCACTGCTCACATTTAATCAGCCTATCAATTTAAATTTTCTTGATAATTAAGAGCAATACAATTAAGTCAAATCAAAAATTCATTTGTCCTTGTTTGTGTCCGTACATTAATTCCATCCACAATCTTTTCTCTTCACGTGGTTGAGCTATTTCTTTCCATCTTTCATCGTATCGAATGTCATTCTCCTAGCACAAGATTACAAAACGGCGAGAAAGTGAAAAGATAGGTGGTGACAAATTGTTAGATAATTTTAGACCGCTTCATTTAATCTAAATGTTTGAATTTTAATTTTTTATAAAATATTTTACATTCAATCTCAATTGCTCCAACTTTCCAAACACTAAACACTCCACTTGTCACCACAGTACTCACTCCATTTGTGAGATTCTTTTTCATATCTCAAAATGACAATAGTTTTGGACAATACTTCTCACAGTTGCACAAAAATTCAATCCCCATTTATAGTATTATTCACTTGGTACCCCTCGAAGAAGTCATTTCATCTTGTTATGTGTCTCAAAATTATAACTGTTTCACCTTTATTGTAATCTTTTAAAAAATAAAAAAATTATTATTATTATATTTATTCTCTTTCTCCCCTCTCTGCTTTCATATCTCTATCATTCTAATTTTTTCCACCTCTTACACCCCATCCTTTAACCATGACCATATTCACCTCTTACACCCCACCCTCTAACCATGGCCTTCACCCCTCCCCTCTCAACCTTCTACCACTAACCCCTCTCTACCAACCATCATATTTAAGGCTTTGTAATTAAACACATATGTATAAATCTAATTTGAACAAAACCAATATAGTCAAGCAAATATACTCGTGAATTAAAACATATATATATAATCATACATTGTTCTTCTTTGTTAAAAATCTTTTAATTATTTTTTAATTAGTTTTCATCACGTTTGATTTATTTTGAGGGTTGATTAATATTCTATAAACAAAACAGATTATTTAGAAGAATTGACAAATACCGCCTTAATTAGTTTTAAATGATTATCAACTATACCTTCAAACATCAACATTGTAAGACACATAATAAGTGGGAATTTGGATTCTACTCTTACACACACCTACAGTACCTATATATATACGTATATATAAGGTACTATAGGACTTTTGTATATATATATATATATACGTGCATTAATAATTACATGGTGTAACAATAAAAATTTGAATCTGAATTTTTAAACAACATATTGTATGTGCAAGTTATGTCTCCAATCTTTTCCGGCTACAGCTGCTCTCTTTTTAAAGGGTTATCAATAGAAGAGCATTTATCATTTTCAGATCCTGTAATTTCGAGAGCCTAGGTAGCCCTTTACATAGGGGTTTGTATATATATATTGACTTCTACTAATTAAGTTTATTATTTTAATGCAGTGAGCTTTCCTTGGAGTACTCTACAAAAGAACCCGAAAAGTGGCATTTGAATTAGTTAAAGGGATATCAGAGAGCTTAGGTCTAGAAGAAAGCTACATACACAAAGCCTTGGATATGGAGTTAGGCAAACAGATTTTCGTGGCGAATCTGTACCCGCCTTGTCCACAACCTGAACATGCCATGGGCATCCCTACTTACTCCGATCATGGTGTCTTAACCCTCCTCATACAGAACGAAATCGGAGGCCTAAAAGTCCAGCATAATGGCAAGTGGGTCAATGTCAATCCCCTTCCCAACTCCTTTCTCGTTAACACCGCGAATCACCTTGAGGTGCAACATCCTTTATTTTTTAAAATGTTAGTATTAAAATTACATCCACTCTAATAGCTTAAATGTTTTCGATACAGATATTGAGCAATGGTAAGTATAAAAGTGTTCTGCATAGAGCAGTTGTGAACAACAAAGCTACTCGAATCTCCCTCGCCATGGGCCATGGACCGTTGCTCGATGCAATTTTGGGTCCGACAATGGAATTAGTGAACAGTGAAACTCATCCAGCTGCATGTATTCCGATGAAGTATAAAGATTATCTAGAGATGAAGCAAAACAACCAGCTTGATGCCAAGTACGGCTTGGAAAGTGTTTAAATTGTGTAATTAAGCAATTAAGCCACTTGCATTGCATGCATATCTGTGTACACATATTTTCAATAAAGTTGCATTTACTCTCATAAAAAGAAAAATGTAGAAGGAATAAATGTAATTTTCCATTTTCATGACCTTCACTATGCGAGCTGATTATTTATTTATTTATTTATTTGTTTAACTTAAATTCATTTTCATGACCTTCACTATGATGGATGATCCATGCTCTGTTATCCGAGTTGGGTCCTCTCCAACGGCCACTTGGTTTGAAAGGTTGGGCCCTGGATAGTCTTTTCTTCGAGCTTAGGCTCTTCTTCTATAAAATATTTTCTCATGGGCTTCACTCAACTGCTGTTACTGATCAGCCCATTTTCTTCTGGCCTGATTGCCTAACCTTTAAAAAAAAAAACACAAAACTTGGCTTAGATGGTTGTAGCAATGTAGTCTCCAACGGTCTAGTTTTTATTCTTGGGTGGGCATGTTGTAGATTGGGCTTCTGGGTCAAGCTAATCCTTGGGCTTGTAATGTATTTGGTTAGCATTGGGGTAACTCTTCTCGTGTATATTGTTGGTTCATATATATATATATATATAACTTGAAATTTACCTTTCAAAACTCAATTAACATTAGTTTTTACAATTTGAATCCCGCACACACTACTTGTAATATATTTTTATGTTGCATTTAGAGCATCTAATCAGTGCTTTGAATTTGGAATTGGAGAAATTTTAATTATATTCAAAGTTTTAATCAAATTTTTTTCAGTTCCAAATTCACATTATTAATTCTGTGCTCGCAAACATAAGCTTATCAATTTTCAGGGGCAGGTTACTGGGTTTCACTGCATCAATCCAAGATTGTTATTTCTCAAGGCTAATGCTTAAAGACAACATCATCTAAAAACTCAATTGATTTTGAAAAACTAAAACTATCTCAAGACACACAAATCACAATACTTGTGCAAGTATGCTAACTAAACATGTTTTTAATTGATGTGATTTTTAGTCCCACCTCAATTTTGCTTAAATATGTTAAACGATGTTTTTAATCTCATATTGGTTTTGAGTTAAAAAGGATTATGTATATACTAACTCCTTATAAAAATAGAGGCCTGACAAATTAATAACTATACTTTTTGGGACTTTTTTAACTAGCTAGTTACATTTGGGATGAGATCGTATGTGGTTCAAAAATTTGGGATGAGATTATATGTGGTTCAAAAAGCATTAGTCTAGTCACATCAATTTGTTGACGTCCCTAATTATGTAACATTTTGTATCACAAAAATGTCAGACTTGGCTCCAAGATATGGACCAGCGACGGGAATTGAGCTGGGCGTGCATCTCATTTTTCATCCTTGGTCATGTTTTTTACTTCCATTCCCGCCCTATATTAGTTTAATTTTCAACTCCTGCCCCTGCCCCGCCTTGCTACATTAACCCTCGTCCCTGCCCCACATAACATTTTTAAAATTTTAATTCAGCTTCAACAAAATCAACACAACCATAATATTTTCCAACCTAACAATTTAATAAAGTTTCAGTCGCCTTCAACACAACTATAACAATTTAAAACATGTATTATATATATAGTCATGTAATTTAGTAATATTTTATAATATGTAAGGGCATTTTTGTAAAAGTGAACTATAAACCGGTAGGGTCGGGATGGGCCGGGCCGGGCGGGACTATCATCCTCCCGGCCTACCTAGTTGCCGAGATTTCAAATACAATCCCCATCCCCTTCCTATTTACATAAACAAATCTCCAAACTTGTTATAATCGGGACCGGACCCGACCCATATGGGTTTTTTTTGCCATCCCTAGATATGGTTACTAGTGATTTTGCATCTGCCAACTTCCTTTTTTTGGATCATATTTAAATATTTGGTAAGCAAGCCTTGTTTGGAACTTTAAGCATAATGTATCCATTTGCTTGTAAATCAGCCTAATAGCTTTGCTATTATAAGGTCACCACCACAAATTTTCTATTGCTTTTTGGTGAAAACAGATAAGGTCCCCACAAAATTTCCAAACTCCTCCTAAACCTGATACATAATTAGATGGAGTACAATTATTATTATATATATATATATATATATATTGTCAAAGTTATTGTAGTTTAATGGTGTTTTTCTGCGTTTTAAAATAAAATACCGAGGGTTCAAGTTTTTAAAGAGGCAAAATAAATTTGTGAAATTATGAGTGCATTTCTTACAAATGAAAAAAAAAAATAATTAAACATTTTTCGCAAGAGTTGGATATTCCGAACTTAATAATGGTGTAAAATAAAAACTAAAGGAAATTGTAAAATTTGTTGTTTTTTTATTTATAGTTATGAAAATCAATCCCATAACACTAATATTTTAATTGCAATAAAAAATGCATTGCGTTTAAACATTTTACAGGTTGATGATTGGCCATCATGCTTAAAAGAGATGGTTATTTTAAAGAATTCTTGATACGGTTGTCATCCACAATTCATTTTTCTTTTAGATTTGGGTTTTTTTATAAAATATATGTGAATATTGTACAAAACGTAACAAACGTTGGTAAATATATTTTCCTCCTTGTTTTTTGTTTTTTTTTTTTTTTTTTTTGGGCAAAAGGCTAATATGCCAATCAAATGAATTGGATTAGTGTTCTTTCAACAATTTTCAATTTTTTTTTTTTTTTTATATTTCTAATTATTAAATGAACAAGTTTACGATTTTAATGATTTAAATTTTTTTGCTTATATATTTATTTTGTAAAAATAGAATTTAAATGTTGAATTTGTTTAAATTAGATTTTTTCTCCTTTTTTTTTTTTTTTGCCTGTCTAAATTAGATTTAGTTAGCTAGTTATCTATATATGTACATTGAATAATGTGGATAAAACATTCCAACCATAATTCTAAAATACGAGCTCGCCTAAATATGAGAATAATCGTGCTATACAAATAATGTGAAAGTGTTTTTGCTTTTGTCTTTTTTTAAATTAAAAAAAAAAAAAATGTGAATGATGGAGTAGTGATACATGATTTAACCTATTCAACAGAAGGGGGTAGTAAATCCAAAGAGAGAGACAGTGTCCGATAGGAACTCACATACAATAGTGTCAAATGCCTTGGTTAAGTCCACCTTAATAGTAACACGAGAAAATAAAATTGTTATCAGAAAACAATCTTTATCTAAAAACAAAAATATTTTTATACTTTAATTTTCATAAAACAATTTTAAAAAAGTTGAACAATTTTCAATTCTCAATCTTTTTTAGAAAAAAAAATTATTTTCATAATTATAAACGAAACGAACCCTATCCATGTGAAGGTTCTTATGCCAAAAACAGTCTATGAATAAATGAATTCTGGCGAGGGTCTAGAGTGGAGGGAAAAGCGAGCTTTGAGCTTGTTCGCTATACGCTGGGCAATGCATTTATGACTTGGGGGTCATTCAGTGATGAGGATTTGGAGCCTCGGAAACCAGTGCAAAAAAAAAAATCTCCTTGAGCATCTTAATTAAAATTTAGGGTATTTTAATAATTACACAATTATAAATATAGGGCATTTCGGTAAATGAATACGAAAAAAATTACTAGTAATATGGAAATAATTAAGCCAAATCATTTGTCGGTGAGGGTCATGTCCTGTAAATTCATTCAACATCGTCGGAGATTTGACATACTTAAATATTGTTTATTATTATGTCACGTTAGTTTTGTATTGTCCCTTCAATTAAGAGAATTATTGTTTTTATTTGCAAAGAGGCTTTCGTGTGATGTTATTATTATTATGTCACATTAGTTTTGTATTGTCCCTTCAATTAAGAGAACTATTGTTCTTATTTGCCAAAGATGCTTTCCATGATGAGTGTGATGTGATCGCTCCCTCTCTTGATATAGTTAGGTTCATCCAAACAATGCCATAGAATCATAAACCTCTCTCTCTCTCTCTCTCTCTCCCTCACACACACACACACACACGCAGTACGTCTCTCTCTCTCTCTAAAATGGCCAGTACAGCTTCACTGGTTCCTCAACGTTCTCCCAAAACTCCTGTACATGCATCCAAGATACCATGCATCAAATCACTGGTAGAATCAGGTGGACTCATGTCCATTCCACCAAATTACGCTTACACCACAGACCCCAACGTTGGTTCAGAGCCTGAAGATTCAATCCCCATCATTGATTTTTCCTTACTCACCTCTAGTGATCCTGATCAACGGTCCAAAATAGTCCAAGACCTGGGCAAAGCCTGTGAAGAGTGGGGCTTCTTCATGGTACGAGTAGTAGTATTTTCACGAACAATCACACAATTTCAGTTTTTTTAAGGTCCATTTTTATTATGTGGTTGGGAATTGAGTAAGTTTGATCTGATGGGTTGTCAGGTGATCAATCATGGTGTGGGTGAGAGGCTGATGAAAGGGATGATGGACGCGTGTAACGAGTTCTTCAATCTGACGGAGGAGGAGAAGCGGGAGTTCCAAGGGAAGCACGTGTTGGATCCTATCCGGGTTGGGACGAGCTTCAACGCCATGGTGGATAAGGTCTTCTTTTGGAGAGATTACCTCAAGTTTTTTGTGCATCCACATTTTCACTCTCTCCACAAACCCCTGGGTTTCAGGTACAAAATCCTGATTATATACATGGATAATTAGTAGTATATTCTAACCCATTTATCAAGCGGGTTAGAATAGTAATTATCTAAAGTATTGGCGTATTAGTATAGAAAATGAGTTAATTTTTGCGTGGTCTATGGCCATGTTGATGAAATTGGGTTCATTTATTTTATTAAATTGATTAAAAACATTAGACTACTGGGCTCCAGAAATTAGTCTAAACAGCATTAGTGTATCACGCAGTACTAGTATAAAAAATGAGTGAAGTTGAAATATATTAACTTATTATTTTTGTGAATAAATTTAAAATTTAAATACAAACACCAAATCAAAATTTCACGGTGATTACTAGCATACGATTAAGTCAAATAAAGAATTCATTTGTTCCCGTCGGTGTACATTAATGCTATCCACGTCATCTCGTCTTCATCCAATCTTTTCTCTTGTACATTGAACTAATTCTTTCAATCTTTAATAGCACAAAATGTCATATTCCTACCACAAAATAACAAAAAGACCAGAAAGTAAAGCGGCAAGTCCTTTTCCAATTTTCCAAATAGCCACCACCGCCACAGTACTCACTCCACGTGTCAGATTCTAGTCATATCTCATCTTGACAATAGTTTTGGACAATGCCAAATGGAGTTGCGCAAAACGTCTAACCTCATTTATAGTATTACTTGTACTATTGATATAGTTTTACTTGTGCTATTGAAAATTATTATCACTCCTGTTATAAATTTATTTTTCGTTTTTTACTCGTGTTATATTTGGTGTACTAGAGTAAAATAAAATTGAATGTAAATTTTAATTATTTTTTTATTTGGTATATAATATAAAGTGGGTAAAATGATCAATTCATTCCACAACTAAACTTATAGAATGATCATTTCATTTCCAAGTAATTTTTTTTAAAAAAAATTACTCAAAAAACTCTCATATTTCAAGTCCAAAAACCACCACTAACTTCTATTACAACCACCTCCACTTTTCACCACCACCACCGCCGCCGCCACCTTCTACCACTACTACACCCTTCCACGACCACCACGACCATCGACTTTCACCATCGTCCACCGCTTTCCACCATTACCACTGCCATCGCCTTTTATCACTGATACCGTCTTCCTTTGCAGCAACCACCGCCACTGCCACCACCATCGCCTTTCATCACCTTTCACCACCTTCCACCACCACCACCTTTCACCATAACCACCGCTACCTTCTACCTTCCACTACCGCCACCACCTTCCACTACCGCCACCGCCTTTCACCACCGCTATCGCCTTCCATCGCTACCACCTTCTATCACCACCACCGCCGCCACTGCCTTTCAACACCGCTACCGCCTTTTGCCACCACTTTTTACCACCACCAGTGCCACTGCCTTCCACCACTGCCACAAACCCAGATCACGAATATACATTGTCTCACGAATATACATTGTCTTTACAGCATAAGAGAATGCAACAACCACATACCCAAATCCGTCTACATCTGGGGAAGAACGTCATCTGAGACTTCCTTTCCCTGACCTGAAAAGATGTGTATGAAATAGGAATGAGTAACCATAATCCTTAATATCTCCGTGAATCCAAACAAAGAACAAATATATGAAAAAGGTGTCATGCAGGTTTGGGAACATAATATCATGTGAGATAATAAAATAAAGTGCAATGCAATGCCAATACCAATGCCAAAGACACTTCCCACTATCCTGAAACCTCACCCAATCACTAAAAAGTTAATGTAATCTGGTCCGAGGCAGGCCTCCTCGGTACCACGAGAAGATAATTGGTCATCTATCCCTGACATAAGGCTACCTCTTCCCGTCATTTGGGGCCTAGTGACACAACCACACGCAAGATATTTTCCTACACCTTCTCTAGATTTCATTAACTACACGGACACAAGGCTTCCCCTTACCATCCGGCTTCCACACCATCATTTTCAAATCCTTTTCTCAACAATCATCTAATGAGATGTCTCCACTTTCCTTTCCAACCCAAATTCATCCCCAGATCATTCGAGATGAATGCGCATTTATAATAATACAATGTACAACTTTGTATCATTTTCAGCCTAAGTACAATAAATTAGGCATACTATTCACTAACATTAAGCATGTTATCACATTTAACATCTAACATTTAAAAGAAAAACTCAAGTGTAAACATGGTATAATACATGATTAAGAAGGATTAAATTCACACGAAACAAATGTTGTGAACCTTAGAACAACAACCCATACCTCAATTGGAATGAAAATCCCAAATACCACCAAAATGAAATCGCTCAAAAAATTTTCATCCGCAAAAACAGATTTTTCAACTTGACACCTTCATCTTTGAAAATTTATAAAAATTTCAATTCTCATCCAAATTGATGAATCCAAAGTCAATTTAAAGTTTAAATACTATAATTTGAAAATATCAATTTAGTTTAACAAAATCCTTTCCCCATCAAAATAGTTTTGACACAAAACTTCGAATCCAATTCTGCCTAGAAAACAGATTTTCAGCCTGTAGCTTTCAACTTTGAAAATTCATAGAAAATTCAATTCTCACCCAAATTAACTGAATCCAAAGGCAATTGAAAGTTTAAAGACCTAAGTTTGAAAATATAAATTTACTTTACCAAAATATCTCACCATTTGAAGCAGTTTTGATGAGAAAACTCGGAGAAATTCTGCCACCAAAACAGAATTTCTAGCAAGGCAACTCTAATTTCAGAAATTCATAGTAAATTCATTTTTCAGCCAAATTGTGTGAAAGCAATTCTCAATGAAAGATTTTAACTATATTATCATAATATCAACTCATCCCTAAAAGATAAATTTCAAATTTACATGAATTTTGGGTAGAACATCAGCATGTAATTGCTGTCAAAAATTTTCAGCATGCACAAAAGTTCAATTCAGTTTTCAAGCAATTAACAACTCAATTAAAGAGATAAAAGTCACCAAATGTAAAGGTTGTGAGGTTTCCGACAATCCTACCTCAAAAGGAGCTTTGGACCTTGCTAGAATACCCAAAAGCCATACCAAGGAAGGATTAAAGCCACAAAAATTGGAGAGAAATAAATATCACTCTTCCTTTAAAATACAACCTCAACCCTCTTCCTTCAAAATAGTTTTTGACAACCCAACAATGAGAAAATGTTTACAATCTTTACACTAAAAGGAAGATCATCATCTTGGGATTAACTTCCTTTCACAAGGCAACACCAAACTCCTACCACAAGGACTTCAAATTAGCATATATAGAAGATGACTATGAAGAACAATAAAAGGCCGAAAATCTGCAGAATATATTTCTGTATCTACTTTCCTCACACAATTGTTGCATGATGTAAAATGTATAAAGTGCAACCACCTATACCCCAAGGTGTCAATCCCACAAATGGTCAAAGTGTGACCACAACAAATGACTAAAAAGCCTTTCAAACTTTGTCAAATACCAAGTTTACCATTTGTGTAATAAAAGTCAATAATACCTCTCATGAAATAATCAAATGACATCCCACATAATTAATTAAAAATAAAGGAAATAATACTAAGTCTCAACAATAAAATAAAAATATGTAAATGTGGAATATCCAGAAAATGGTAAAAGTGCAAAACATCACATTAGCGGTGTCCCAAATTTGGGCCTTGACCTCCTTGTCGTCGATATCCATGCCCTGCGCTTGAAATTCCACTCCAATCGTGGCTTTGGAGTGTATGTTGAACTCATTTTGAGCGTAACGTGACAAGAGATTCAACTTTCTCACTGCTGAATCTCTTATTATCACTATATTGAACAAGGTACTCGTCTCTTTCTTCATTTAAATCTATATATATGTGTGTGTGTGTGTGTGTGTGTGTGTGTGTGTATAGATAGATAATTGTGGAGATTAGACAGCGATGCACGACGTTGCAAGGAAAGAAGAAGGTGAAGGCGTCACCGTCGGGGATCTGATACCAGAGGCCCGAGGTGGCGATGGGGTTAGAGAAGAGATGTCGTTCGACCACAACCTCTAGGTTTGGTAGTGGTGGTTGATTGTGGTTGAGAAAGAGGGAAATTTTAGCTGTCGACTATGGGGGTTAGGGATGGTGGTGGTATTAGTGTCGGTGTGGGGGGTGGCGGTGGCCTTGTCGATTGTGGTTTTGACGATGTTGATGTCGATTTGGGTTTGCTTGTAGGAATGGTTGTTTCATATAAAACCTAGTCGGAATCATTCTTAGTCGTTATCATCTTTAGAGTAGTTCCGTCGCTGCCGTTACCATTGCCATCGTTGCTGGAAAGCTACCGAGCCTATATGCGTTGTGTGTGTATATATATATATATATATATGCACACATATATTTTATAGAGGGAAATTATTGGGGGCAATGTTGTCTTTTTTAGTTTGTTGATATTTTTGCCTAAAATAAATTTAAAAAATAAGGGTAGATTTGTCTTTTCGCATGTTTTTAATGGTGTTAGTAACAAGAAAGTAAAATTAGACCTAAGTGATAGTAATTTTCGAAAATTGTTTCAGAGTGATATTTGACTAAACCTGAGGGGGTGTTAGTGAAATTAACCCAAAATATAAATATACGGGGTTAAGTGTAAAAAACCCCTAAACTATAGATATAGTGCAGAAAAGTCTATGTGTGGTATAAAACCCCCTTTATATTATCAATTTGGTGCAAATACCCCCTAATCGCATAAAAAGACTATAATACCCTTTTATCAATAAAATAAAATAATATTAAAAAAAATAATGTAAGGTAAAATTACTATTTTAGATTATTCCCAAACTCTCTCTCTACCATGGGGTCTCTTCCACTCATGCAAAACCCTAATTTTGGGAATACTAAACTTGTCCGCCTCTTCCACCCCTGTAAAACCCTAATTTTCTTTACCAGCACCACATTCTCCTCCACCCCCCTCCATCAAAACCCTAATTTCCTAATCCAACAGAATCAAGGTCAATTCCTCCACCTTCTTCTTCACCAAGGTCAGAGAATTTGATCCCAAGCTCCACCTCCCTCACTTCCCCTTCTACGACACCATCATCGTTGATCTTCACCGACACCGATGCTGACATCGAGAAAAGTCCCTTATTGTTCGGATTCTACTAATGTCCTCAACACCATTGGGGCTTTGTTGTTCGGCAGCGACGCTTTCACTATCGTGACTATGTACTTGTTTTGGTCCCTCTTCGCTCCCAATCGCTTCGAGTTTCGTGATTCTAATGAGAAGTTTGATGATGGCGACAATGACAATTACGATGTCAAGCCGAAGATGGGTTACGCCGATCATGGGTCACTATAGATTGGAGCTTGCCGGACTGAACACACTGCTGCTAGGGGTAATCGAGATGTTGAAGCTTTAGGTTCGCCAAATTGTAACATCGTTGCTACTCTGGGCTTCTTCGGCTTGTTTCTGCTCGGAACTTTGCTGGATTAAATGGAAGCTCCTTGGAGCTTCGTTGGAATTGATCTCTTAAAGAGCTTTTATGGACTCTCCGTTGATGAAACCTCGCATCGTCTCCATATTCCTCCACTAACTCTTGCAAATATTGGTGAATGCAAATCTAACATATGTGTGTGTGTGTTGTGAAAGAAGAAGTGGTGGCTGTGGGTGGTGGTGGCGGCATAAATGTTATATTTTTGTATTCTTTTTTTTTTTATTATATTGTGAGAAAGGCAAAATGGGAAAAAGGGCAAAATTGGAATTTGCTATTTACTTTTTTAAATTGGGGGCTATTTGCACACCTTTTTTAAAAAATAGGGGGTGTTTTGCACATTTTTATAAAGGATGGACAAATTGTGCACCAAACTTGGGGTTTTCTGCACTTAACCCTAAATATACGTGTATTAATAATTACATGGTGTAATAATAAAAAATTTAATATGCTTTTTTAAACAACATATTGTGCAATTTATGTCTCCTATCTTTTCCGGCCAACATTCTATATTGCTAAATGGGAAAAAACAACTGCTCTTTTGAAAGGGATTCACATTTTGTTATCACTTACAAATTAACTTGGATTCATACAAGAGCATTTCTACATTTATCATTTTCAGTTCCCGTTCAAGAGCCTCGTGCATTGAAGTAGTCATTTACATAGAGCTTTGTATATATTGACTAAGTTTATTATTTTAATGCAGTGAGCATTCCTTGGAGTACTCTAAGAGAACCCGAAAAGTGGCAATTGAATTAGTTAAAGGGATATCGGAGAGCTTAGGTTTAGAAGAGAGCTACATACACAAAGCCTTGGATCTAGACTCAGGCTTACAGATTTTCGTGGCGAACCTGTACCCGCCATGTCCACAGCCTGAACATGCCATGGGCATCCCTCCTCACTCTGATCATGGCGTTTTAACCCTCCTCACACAGAATGAAATCGGAGGACTACAAGTCCAGCATAATGGCAAGTGGGTCAATGTCGATCCCCTTCCCAACTCCTTTCTCGTTAACACCGCAGATCACCTAGAGGTGAGACATGGTTTATTTTTTAAAATGTTAGTTTTAAAGTTATATCCATCTAATAGCTTAAACGTTTTCGTGACAGATATTGAGCAATGGTAAGTACAAGAGCGTTCTGCATCGAGCTGTTGTGAACAACAAAGCTACTCGAATCTCCCTCGCTATGGCCCATGGACCATCGCTCGATGCAGTTGTGGGTCCGGCAATGGAATTAGTGAACAGTGAAACTCGTCCGGCTGCATATATTCCAATGAAGTATAAAGACTATATGGAGATGCAGCAAAGCAACCGGCTTGATGCCAAGTCTAGCTTGGATCGTGCTCGTGTTCAAATTGTGTAATTAAGCAATTAAACCACTTGCATTGCATGCATATCTGTGTACGCATATTTTCAAAAAAGTTGTACTCTCGTAAAAAGAAAAATGTAGAAGGAATAAATGTAATTTTCCATTTTCACGACCTTCGTTATGCGAGTGGTTATTTATTTATTTATTTGTTTAACTTAATTTTCATTTTCATGACCTTCATTATGATGATCCATGCTTTGTTATCCGAGTTGGGTCATTTGCAACGGCCACTTGGTTTCGGTTGGGCCCTGGATAGTCTTTTCTTCGAGCTTAGGGTCTTCTTCTGTAAAGGTTTGTTTGGGCCTAGGCCCTTGTTTTAGTAAAATCTTTTCTCTTGGGCTTCACTCACTGCTCTAAGTGATTAGCCCATTTTCTTCTGGCATATTGCCTTGTGCTTAATTGTTTCATATCTATATACTTTGCTTAACCTTTTTTTTTTTTTAATTAATTTGAATCCCGTACATACTAGTAATATATTTTTTATGTTGAATTTAGAGCATCCAATCGCTGGTTTGGATTTAAAATTGGAGAAAGTTTTATTCAAAATTATAACTATTTTTTTTTTTTTTTTTTCAGTTGCAAATCCAAATCATTAATTTGGTAAGCTTATCAATTTTCAGGGACGGGTTACTGGGTTTCACTGTATGAATCCAAGATTGTTAATTCTCAAGGCTAATGCTTAAAGACAACATCTAAAAACTTACCTTTCAAAAAAAAAATTCTAAAAAACTCAATATATTGATTTTGAAAAACTAAAACTATCTCAAGACACAAATCACAATACTTGTGCAAGTATCCTAACTAAACATGTGTTTTAATTGATGTGATTTTAAGTCCCACCTCACTTTTGCTTAAATATGTTAAACATGTTTTTGGTCACACATCTGTTTTTAGTTAAAAAGGAATATTTATATACCAACTGCCTATAAAAATAGACGCCTAACAAATTACTAATAATTATACCTTTTTCTACATTTTGGATAGCTAATTACATTTGGGATGAGATTATATGTACTAGTAGTTCAAAAAGGATCAGTCTAGTCACATCATTTTTTTGGTGTTCATAATTATGTAACATTTTTGTATCACTGATTGGAACACCACAAACACAATGAACAGAGTTATGGACACCAAAAAAGCCTTTTTTGGATCATTTTTTAATATTAGGTAAGCAAAGTCTTGTTTGGAGCCTTTACCCAATGATGTAATCCATTTGATTGTAAATCAGCCTAATTGCTTTGCTTTTGGAGGAAACTTATTACAAGGTCACCACAAATTTTCCATTGCTTTTTGGTGAAAACTGGTAAGGTCACCACAAATTTTCCAAACTCCTCCAAAATCTGATACATAATTAGATGAAGTACGATTATATATTTATATATATATTATCAAAGTTATTATAGTCTAATGGTGATTTCTCCGGTTTCAAAATAAAACGTTATGGGTTCAAGATTTCAAAAAAACAAAATGAATTTGTGAAATTGTGAGTGCATTTTTTACAAATAAATAAAAATAATTAATTAAACATTTTTGGTGAGAGTTGGATATTCCGAACTTAATAATGATGTAACATAAAAACTAAAGGAAATTATAAAAAACGTTATTTTTATTTATAGTTATGAAAATCAATCCCATAACAGTAATATTTTAATTGCAGTAAAAAATGTATTGCATTTAAACATTTTTCAGGTTGATGATTGGCCATCATGCATGCTTAAAAGAGATGGTTATTTTAAAAGAATTCTTGCTACAGTTGTCATCCACAATTCATTTTTCTTTTATATTTGGGTTTTTTTTTATATAAAATATATGTGAATATTGTACAAAACGTAACAAACGTTGGTAAATATATTTTCCTCTTTTTATTTTTTATTTTTCCCGGCAAAAGGCTAATATGCCAATCAAATGAATTGGATTAGTGTTCTCTCAATAATTTTCATAATTTTTTAATATTTCTAATTATTAAATAAACAAGTTTATGATTTTAATAATTTAAAATTTTTTGCTTATATATTTATTTTGTAAAAATAGAATTTCAATGTTGAATTTGTTTAAATTAGATTTTTTCTCCCTTTTTTTTTTTTTTTTTTTTGGTCTAACTTTGTTTGGCTCTTTTTTTTTTTTTAGGGGCATGCCAGAGTCTTTCGACCCAAGGGATTGGATAGCCAAACTATCTTTGGAACTAACCGAATCTGAAATCGGCCTTTAGTGAATCAGGCTACTGTTGGAAGGTAAGGATGACCCATTCCTTCATGTTCTTCAACGCCTCAATAAAGAGGACTTTTAGCACTATAAGTAGAATGGATGAAAGGGAATAAAATAAATTATATGAGTATTCATCTATTCTAAGAGACTTAGAAAATAGAAGTAGAGGGGATTTAAGCCAAGCGTCGACTTTTATTTTATAAGTAAAATTCTCATACAGAGTACAAGAAGTGTAAATCTAAATCTAACACTAGACTACTCCTATGAACAAAAGTAAAATACAATTTAAAAGACGGTATGAAATTGCAGCAAAATAAAAATTGCATAAGTAAGTTGTTGAATAACCGTGATATCCCTCCACAACGCCTTTTTCTTCTATTTATAGTTAAGGCTCAGCAGTTGAAAGCAGTTACAATTTAAAATTCAAATTTCCTTATTTTGAATATAAATATCACTTGTATGATCTTATCCTTTTGAAACATGTCACGTTGAACACAAATTCTCTTGTGATGTGGCACTGTACCATAGAGCTAAATCAATGGATTATCTCAAAATGCATACTGCTTCTACCCATTTCTGACTATTTAATCGGCACCTACGTGGCCGAGTCATAATCAATTTTGAGGTAGGCATATTTTAAAACTTGCCGCATGTAAATTCCTTTCTGGACCTGGAAATAATTCCATGTTAGAATGGCCATTGTAAAGAAATCATTCTTCCAATCAACCAATGCCAAGATGGGAGAGAAATTTCTTTCCCTAATCAAACAACACAATTAAATTTAATTTTATAATGCAAACAATGCCCCTTTTAAATACTTTTTCGGACTCATTCAATCCGAAATTGTATTTAAAATCGTCTGAAATAATTGATATTCACCAATTGCAGGATTTATCCAAGGAAAGAATAATTTTGAAATTCAAATTGTACCATGACCTTCCGGCCGTCAACCAATTAAAGAAAAGCATTAAATATACTTTCTTTGGAATCATTCTTTTACCTTGAAGTTCGGTGGTTTTGCTTATCAGTAAACTTTCAGAAGACCTTTTTGATTCTTTGCTTCCAAAAAGGAGATCTACAAACTGACATTGTTAATATATATATATATATATATATATATATATATATATATATATATTCCCTTTAATCAAAGACCCATCTATGGCGTCTTCAACTACTAGTCAAGCAGCTGATAGTGAAGAGAGCTCTGACGAATCGGTACCCATAGCATGTTCAGCTTTCAGCGGTAAACCTATTTATTCTCCTCAAATTCTACCTTTCATCACTCAGGACAATACCCAAAAGCAGGTACTTTTTTCATGTTCTTCATCTTCTTCTCCATTAATGGGGTTAGGTCCGTGTTTTAACAAAGAAATTCCTGATGAAATAAAGAATTTTTATCCTTTGGTTGAAAAAAACCTACCTTTCGGACAAAAATTCATCCCCTTTCTTGAAAAAGAAAAATTGAGAATTCCTCGCCTCATTTTAAGGAATTGGCCTAAATCAACATCTGATTGGACAGCCTAGGTTGATCGAATGGAACCCATTAAAGGAAACTCCTGGCCTGAACTGAATATTTATGATGCCATTATGTTTAGTAAACATAGCATCCCTCTGGACAAATCTCTTATGTTCTCAGCCCTTCTATTTTGGTCAATTTCAACCAATTCTTTTCATTTCAAGTGTGGCATGATGGCACCCACCATACAAGATGTTTATTTTCTCACTGGTCTTAGACCTCATGGTGAAGAGGTCAATGGTGTAGTATCTCCCAAAGGTGAATACACTTATTTTTTACAACCAGAGGAGTCAAAACGTAAGAAAATGACCAACCCAAAAGCAACATCTTCCAAGAAAAAGAAAATTCGGCACTTATCTGCTCATGGTTCTTTTATCGCTCATTGGGTAAAATTTGGAGATGTTGAGCCTGACGAGCACATTTCCTTTTTGATTTATTGGTTAAACAAATTCTTGTTTGGAGTATCCTTTTGTTGTATCACCAAAGAATTTACCAATGTTGCTTTAGCACTTCATGCTGGTAAAAAACTAGCCGTGGCCTCTTTGGTGTTATCCCATCTATACAGGGGAATATTTGAGTTTGTTGACACCAAATTTACCACTGCTGGTGGCCCCTTTTGGCTCCTTCAATTCTGGCTCCAAGCCTATTTTCTCGAAATTGGTCCTCATATTGACCATTCTTTAGACTATCCAGTGTATGGATACTATTATTTGGAAACCATCCCAAAAGATTAAACTTTTGAACATTGCTTCGAAATGTTCTATTCTCATATGTCTACTCGATCATCCAAGAACTTCACTCCATTTTATCCTAGGACTAAAAGACCAGAATGGCTTCTAATTGAGCCAGGAATGGCAACATCTGAGCAAGAGCAAGAACATATTGAAGTTTGGGGTTGCTTCTTAATAGCTAGAGATCTTCACTGTGGTACTACTCCCTTTTCTTCAACTACCCATAAGTGTGGTGTCGAATATTATAATGTTGCTCAATTTGCTAAACAATTTGGCCTTACTCAACATATACCTTTACCACTTATCGCTTCTACAAATGATTGTTTTGAGGAACAATATTTCTTTAAGGACGAAGATGATGTGCACCAAGTGAGTCAAGATTTTGCATCAAGCAAATTAGATTTCAAACTGATCCATTTCATCAACGAACCAGCTTTAACTCTTGAATTTGATGCTTGGTGGACACACCATATAAATAGTATTTGCTCTCAACCCTTTGCTAAAATACTTGCACAACTGAAAACATATTTTGAAGAGGATTTGAAGCAGAAACTGCCACAGGAATCTATTCGGCATAAACCATTTTCCAGCATTCAAACCAGTCATCCTCAAAGTCCAACTCAAACCTCTCCCTCTACAGCTTCTATACCAGGTATTTCTGGCCTTTTTTCTTTTATTTGTTTTAATTTTTTGTATTCCTCCTTTTCACT